TTATTTTCTTTCCATCTTTAGTGACATATACGTCTTCACCATCCCTTCTTTTTTCGGTCCTTCAACTCCGACGAACCAATGCCACAACCCACTGTCTCTTTGTTGAATTTTGCACCACCACAGCCCAATAGAAGGCTTGTGGTGTTGGTTCGCCAGAGTTGAAGAACCGAAAAAAAAGGGATGGTTAAGACGTCGATGTCACTAAATATGGAAAGGAAATAGAAGTTGAGAAGGAAGAGAGACGGGATGGTGACTAGTGGGACACAGCTTAAATTTCTCAAATGTAGTTCCAGGCTTAGGGTGACGAGATACAAATATGTGGGGTCTATTAATTTTTTTAAATATATAAAAAATAAATACATAAATAAGAAAATTAATTTAAAAATAAATTAAAAAGGACACAATAGTCTTTTGAGGTAAGATAAGGACCAAACGCACAACAAAAATAAACAGTAGGGATCATCCGAATTAAAAAATAAGTTAGGTACCAAACGTATAAATTACCCAAACCACAGGGACCATTCATGTAATTTACACTTACCTTTTCGGTTTGTTCATATCTGTGTAACTATCTTTTATTTTGTACACATCTTGGTAACAAACTTTTTAGAAGTGTCCACATATGACAATTATGACCGGATGTAACCTGCTACAGCCGGTCATAATGGTGATATCTGAACACTTCCAAAAAGTTTGTTACCTAGATGTGTACAAAAAAAATATAGTTACACACATGTGAACAAACCGAAAAGTTAATTACCTTAATAAGTCTATTTCCCCTACATTTAACCCAATATGTTTCCTTAGAGTTTAGCCCAATACAAATGTACAATCTATAATTATATATATATATAGATATATATATATATATATATATATATATATATATATATATATATATATAATTAATTAAACGAGTTATTTTTGTGTTGGGTTCGAGTTGAAAGTATTAACCCTAACATTACCCATTTAATTTTCATGTCGTGTTGTGTTAACCCATTTAATTAAACGTGTCGAATCTCTAACCCAAACTCGTTTATTTCGTGTCAGGTTTTGGGTCATGTCGATTTTTGCCACCTCTAATCCAAGATAATCCAAATGGTCGACCACCAAAGTTTTATTAACCATATTTTTTCATTTTTTCTAAGTAGTTTTGTTTCAAAACATATTCCAAAATGTATTCTAGCATGTCTATGACTTTTCAATACACGAAAAAGAAAATCATGACTTTTCAACACAAAATTGGTTGTGGCATGCATGCAAGACTAGGTCATGTGAACTTTGACAAAATTACAAATATATAAAGAAGGACCTTGTTATCGGCTTACCACATATTACAGGGAACAATCAACTATGTGAGTCGTGCATAATGGGAAAACATAGTCTAAAACCTTTCCCAAATTGTTCCAAGTTTCGTCAAAAGAAACCGTGGAACTTATTCATGGAGATTTATGCGGTCCAATCTCAACATCGACCATTGCTGGAAATACCATCGACCATTGCTGGAAATAGGTATATCTTTGTTTTAATAGATGATTACTCACGATTCATGTGGTACTACCTTATGAAAGAAAATAGCAATGCAATAACCTATTTCAAGAAGTTCAAGGTTACTATAGAAAAAGAAACAAATAACTTAATTTGTGTGTTTCGGACGGATAGAGGTAATGAGTTTACTTCACAAGAATTCAATACACTTTGTGAAGATCAAGGAATGATAAGACATCTTACAACCCCATACACGCCACAACAGAACGGGGTAGTAGAAAGACGAAATTGTACTTTTATCGAGATGACACAAAGTATCTTAAAAGAAAAGCAAGTTCCAAACTACCTTTGGGGTGAAGCAGTTAATCATGCAACCTACATCTTAAATCGGATTTCAACAAGAACAGTGAAAGAGGAAACTCCATATGAGCTATATTACAAACAAAACCCAACATTCAACATATACGAGTATTTGGATGTATTGCCTATGCAAAAGTAGATGGAACAAATTTAAGGAAGCTAGATGACCGGTCAAGAAAGACGATTCACCTTGGATCAGATCAAAGAACAAAAGCATACAGATTGTATGATCCAATGTGTCGCAAAATTATTGTATCACGAGACGTAATTTTTAACGAAGACGCAAATTGGGATGAGAAATATCTAAATGATTCTAACTCAACCCATAAACCAGAAATGTTTTGGGATCAATGGTCAGGTATTGTAGATACGGGTGAAGGATCGGTAACAAACGGGACAAACCTCAGTATTAGTGAACAAACAGAAAAAGGAAGTGGTGAAAGTGAAAGTGAAGTAGAACAGCCAAACGTTTCCAATGAAGATCAAGAACATGATGATGAACATGAAGACCGTGAAGCTCCTCCTTTACGAACGTCAAGTCGGACCATACAAGCACTACGCAGATATGATGACTATGAAAGAAATTTTCTAGTCGAGAACATACAACTACTTCTTTCTTTAAATTATGATGAACATTCCAACTATCAAGCTAGATGGAATTCTTAAATGAATGAAGTTTCAAAGATTTGTGCAAGAATAAGTTGTGTATCGAAGATGTATTGCATCAGATTTAATTCTGGTCGGAGTTTATGTAGACAACCTGGTGGTTACAGGAACAAGCATAAGCATCATATCCAAGTTCAAGCAAGCAATGGCCACAAACTTTATCTTGATATGATTGATCTAGGTGTGTTAAGATATTATCTTCGTATTGAAGTGTATCAAAGATGCAGGAATGCACGATTGTAATCCAACTACTTTTCCTATGGATTCAAACATGAAAATTCTCAATGAATTCTAAATAGGAAGACACAGACGCCACAGAATATCGAAATCTTGTGGGAAGACTAAGATACTTATTTCAAACACGACATGATCTTACATACGCAGTGCGCATTACAAGCAGGTATATGCAAACTCCTAAAAGGTCACACATGCCAACAATAAAACAAATTATGAGGTATATAAAAGGAACTTTGGGATATGGTATTAGATATACACGAGAGTAACCAGTAAAGTTGGTTAGTTGGATATAGTGATAGTAGGCACAACATCGATATCGATGATGGAAGAAGTACAACTGGACATGTTTTCTTGGAAGGTCACCTATAACTTGGTGTTCACAGAAACAAGAAACGGTGGCATTATCTTCGTGTGAAGTAGAATACATGGTTGCATGTGCAGCATGTTGTCAAGCAATTTGGTTATGTGATTTGTGTTCTAAGCTACAGGAGGTGGTAATAAAGATTGATAACACATCAACAATCGCATTGGTAAAAAAAATCTGGTTTTTCATGGCAAAAGTAAGCACATAAAGTCTCGTTATAACCACATTCGAGAATGTTTTGAAGAGAAGGAAATCCTGGTGGAACATGTAAGTGGGAAGGAACAGTATGTAGACATTCTAACAAAGGCTCTTGCCAAGATCAAGTTTATCGAAATGTGCAAGCTTCTTGGAGTAGAGGACCTCTCAATTTCCATTCAAAAATTAAGGGGGGTGAATGTTGGTAATTTTCATAATGCCCAAGGATCATTGGAGTCCTTATCATAATGTCGTGATTAAGAAAAGTCTTGGAGTACAAGTAAGTATTAGACTAGGTTTAAAAATCCTTGGTTAATTAGCTATCTATATGTGAGGTACAGAGGTGTGTATATATATATATATATATATATATATATATATGTATATATATATATATATATATATGGTTAGAGTTGATTGTCAAGTTATGACATTACAAAGAGAAAAGGGTTGTAATCAAAGTTTGAGTTAGTTCTTTGAATATAACAAGTTATTTTCCTGAGTTTTTTCTGTTTTATATTCCAATTAAAATTGTTAGTTTGGTTCAATTGGTTTGGATTATTCGGTTTTCAATTAATTTGGTTTGGTTAACTGAATAAGGATACTTTATTCGGTTTGATTTTGGTTAAATTTTCATTATTTTGGTTAAACTGAAAATACCGAATAACATATTTTATTAATATTTAATTTCATATTTTTTAATTTAATATTTAAAATTAGTTACTAAAAATCATTTTCAGCGCAGAAATGTTTCAGCCCAAAGCCTAAATCGGGCAGCCCGCTTATCTAGTTAGTTTCCAACCCCTCTCTTTATAGGGCTGTTCACTATTTGGATAAAACCGAATTGTCCAATTGGACAATTTGGATTGGACTATTTGGTTCGGATATTCGGATTTTTGGATTGGTTTTCAACAAAACCGAATTATTGTTTTGGACTTCGGATTGGTTTTGGTTTATAAAATAAGAGTCGAATAGTCCAAAAAAACCGAATAAAAATTTATTATTTATTTATTTATAATATATATATATCTATAGTTATCTATTAATTTTGTAATTTATTTTTTCAAATAGGTTCAAAACGTTTCACCCGATAAAAAAAAACATCAATATGTATTATCTCTCAAAAGTTTTCTATGTATAAAAATATTTAACTATAATATATCTTCTTCGTAATTGTTTATAAATTTCAAATCACAACCAAATAACTTGTTTTCGCTTCTTGTGTAAAATTGGATAATATTATAATTATATGTCGTTTTAAAATGTTTCGGTTTTTGAAAACCGAATTATAAAAACCGATCCAACCGAATTGTAATTGGATCGGATCGGATCGGATTTGAATTTAGTTTAGACTATTCGGATCTATGTTTTCAAAACCGAAATCAATTTGGATTCACCTGATTGGATCGGATCAAACCGATTCATCCAAACGAACACCCCTACTCTCTTATACGATCTAAGGTCTAAGCTTTTTTTATAGAAAAAAAAAATCAAGACTTTCCTTATCAATTTATTTGATGGCTATTAATTTATTTGATTTAGTTTTCTTAATGTTCTTGTTAATCTGTTTTCACATAATGAACTCATTTTTATTCAGGAAACCAAACCGAAAACTTTATTTGGTTTGGTTATTGTTAATTTAAAGACGCTAAAAAACCAATTAAATCAAACCGAAATGTAAAATCCCTTCAGCCACTACAACAACAACAACAATCAACATCTTTATTAACTTCACCATACAAACTACAAATTTCCATTACACATTTGTTGTGTAACTATTAACTATGGACATTATAACCCCTGGCCTGTGGCCTCTACTCTACCCTTTTGTTGCCTCCATCACATTCACATTCACATTTCACACCACTAAACTTCAAGAAAAATGATCGATTCATGATTGCATAATATAACTATCTAGCACTTAGCACCTCCTCATTATATTGGCCACATTTTCTCCAATCTCTGTTTTTGTCTGCTCTGACACTGGACCATCTCCAATGTACATATCAAAGAAAGCCCCTGAAGATTAAATTTTATCAAAAATACTACCTTTAATTTTTTTAAAATCAAAACAACAAAAGTTAGGTTTCTTAAGTTGTAACACAAAAAAAAAAAAAAAAAAAAAAAAAAAAAAAAAAAAATAGGTAATAGACCACTCACTGCACAAATCCCTACTACGAACTGCACCAATCCGTTTGCCTTCAACTGCATAAACATCAGTACATGACATCACATGACATGACAGAACAAAACATGTTGTACTGGGACTAAGACTGAGACTACTGTCAATGGGGGATATGGACCCACTCTCTCAATCTCTTGTGTGCAAAAAAGACGTAAATGCCCTCCTTATCCTCTCATCATTAAAAATAGCCCTAGAAAACTTGATCAGTCCAATCATGTAAAGTATTTATTATGGTGAGAGAAAGAGAGAGACTCACTCTCGGTTACAAGATGTCCATCAGCTGTCCTCTGAATTTTTATTGTTGTTCCCTGAACATTGATACCATGTATTATTATTTATTATCTTTCTGATAAAACCAAGGGCAAATATGTAAAAACAACAAAATGTAGAAGAGATTACCGCTCGTATTGGAATATCCTCTGAAAAAAGAGAACCAAAACTTCTTAAGCAGTCATAATCAGTATCTGGATTCATCTGTAACACCAATAAATTTTTTTAAAAAAAAAACACTCAATGGTTATAATTTATTAAAAAAAAAAAAAAAACCATCAACTGGAATAATGCTTCACCTTAATTAATCGGGCTCGAAGTGACTTCTCAAAAGCACTGTAAGAAACAAAAACAAAAATTTTCAAATCAGAAAAGATGTCGCTTTTTTTCTTTTTCACAAAAAAAAAACGATTTTTTATTAGAATTATGTGACTTACTCTCTAACTGTACTGATTTTAAGTCCATTGTAGCTTACCACAAGCCTAACTGTCATGCTTATGTCCTCCCTGCAGCATATCACATCAGATCTCAAATACTTGAATTATATGATAAATTAAATTAACCATACTTTATTTTTTACAAAATGTAAAGGAATTATAAATTATAGGTAAAAGATTGTCATTCATGGCATAATAATACCTGAGAAGATCAGAATAGAAGTTATGATGCTTGTTGACCTCCTCTTTGGGAAGAGAAGCATACTTTGACCCCAACTTCTTACAGATATCATAAGGGTGAACATCTATGGAAATTTATATAACAACTGAGAACAAAACAAACTAACAATTTAAATGAAATTTTTTAGTATACTTACAAAATCCAAATGCATAGAGCTTCAAAGATTTTATTTTAATTATTTTCATTGTTTTCAATCCAGTTCCAACAAGAACCTGAAACATAGATACAGGTTGTTGTTTATAACAAGTTGCCAAGATATATAAAAATTAATAACAACAAAAATTGGAATTCAACCTCTGTATTTAAACTGGAATTACTCCCTCCAAAGATGTTATCCAATAAAGTTGGGAATTCAATTCCAGTTTTTGGTTCAACTGCAGGTGATGAACAATTAAAATTTCCATGAAGATCACCACATTTATGTTGTTGAACTTCACATGGAACATGATTCATATATCTCCCCACAACTCCATTGCCATTTTCATGTGAAACAGCAAGATAATTCCTAGATTCAAAAAAAATACCCAATTCACAAAAAGGATGATTCATGATTGAATGTATTCTGAAAAGAAGAAGAGCTTACATGTTGTCAAGTGGTGGAACTAAATTACCAGCTAAAGATAATGCAGGAATAAACTGAAGCTCTTTAGCCTTTCCCACCAGTTGTTTAATTGCAAACCTTGAGAACTTGTTAAAAAATTCAGGAATCTCAAGTGCTTTTTTCCTATAATTGCAGAAAAATCCAGGGAGATCATAATTGTTTTGGCCAGAAAAATGATATCTTTTATGGCTGATATTTGAATTTGAATTTGAGCTACTAGAACACCATAACATTACAGTGCCTGTAAACTTTGAAAGGTTTCTAAAAGTTTCTTGAAGAGCAATACTTCCAGGGGTATACCAGTTTCTAGAATGATGAGGTGAAATGTCAACCAATGAACTTATATGGTAGATATATCGACTAGGGGAAAGAGCTTCCATTGGAAAGAACTTAGGCCTTCCCTCATCAAGATCCATAAGAGCAAATAAGGGTTTTGCAAGATCTTCTTCTTGCGTCTACTTCAAGAATGCAGAACTCAGAGATGATTTCAGATGAAGATGGAAAGAAGATGAAACACCTACAACTGCAATGGTATCAATCAGAATGGAAAGATTTATGTGAAATGCAGATGAATAAGGAGCGGAAATAAAACATCTGATGATCGAAAATAGCACCATTGTAAATTAAATTTCATGATGCGTGAACTCTGTATTGAAATTCATGTCAAATTTGTAGCCGACTGGTATCATATTTGGCATCAATAATTCAATGGCATTTCCTTTTTCCCAATTTTGTAATGGATGGAGGTTTATTCCCTCTGTTCAAATGTAAAATTACTATAAAGCTGACCAAATTGACACCAGTTTACCGCAAATTAAATGGAACATGGCATTCATATTTCCTATTAAAATCGTAGCCTCATCAAATTGTATCAAACCTAAGAACAAAATTTGAATGCAAATCACAAAATTACGAAGAAAATTATGTACAGCCTGTTATATAACACAGAAAATTAACCAAAACAATTAAAACGAACCTGAAATTACCACGGAAAGCAATGCACCAAAAACAGAGGGTCGATCACGCTTTCGTGTCCAAAAAGAACAGCTTTACTAGGGTTTTTTCAACAAGAATCGAATATGCTTTTTGCTAGGAATGATGAACGAGAGTTTCATACGGTGAATAAATGATCAAAACTTTGAATCGTCTTTCCGTTTTTTTTGCAAGAGAAAACAAAAATCCTAAAAACTAATAAAGATTTTAAAGTTTTTCTTCGATTTTGTTTCCGTTTTGCCAAATAAATTGGGGTTTTTCTGGAACTTAACGAAGGAAGGAAGATTCCGGGTTCTGTTAAAGCGTGCAAAAGTATCTCTCTTTCTTGCATCTCTCGGACAAACAACATGAATTATAATATATATATATAATATATATAATATTATATATATATATATATATATATATATATATATTTAAAAAAACTTGGCCCAAGGTTTAGACTAATTCGAAAACTTACCCTTTCGGTTAGGTAAACTATGTCCAGAACGCCCTATTTAGGGCTACTTTTGTTGTGTTTGGGAGTGTTTTTCAAAATAACTTATTCATTTATTGGTTTTTTAAAAAGCCAAGTTAAAAAATATTTAGTAAACATAAACTTTTTAATGTAATAATGATTTTTTCAAAAAGAGATGAATTTTTGGCTTTTCCAAAAAATCAATAAATTGATTGAAAAACACTCACAAACACCCCCTAACACCCTATCTCCAGTTTTAAAATTAAAGAAAGGGAAGGAAATGAAAGGGAAGGAAAAGAAATGGGAGGAAAAAGAAAGAATTTTTTTCTTAATTAGTTGTGTTTTCGAGTTAAAAGGAAAATAAAGAAACGTTATTTTTTCAAGTTGGAAAGAAAGGAAATGAAATGGACATTTTTACATTTTTGCCCTTTGTTGATATATATATATATATATATATATATATATATATATATATATATATATATATATATATATATATATATCAATTACCCTTTATCTTTTGTATAAAGAAAAATGTTCTAAGCAAGTATTTGTTCCAAAGCAACTAATAAAATGTTCTAGTCATAACAATGTTCCAAAATAATCACTAAACATGTGAATCAACAAGTAAATGTTCCAAAAAACATGTTTGAATACAATGAAATCAACACGCTGCAAAACAATATCTAATTTTTGAACTTCATTCCCGTTCTCCTATCATTTTACCTAACTTAGTCATTCTCATCTAAAGAGGACAACACGTTGGTGCTTTTTCCAGACGCTCCACCAAAAAAATGTATGCATTTGCCAATTCATCTAATCACATTCTCATAAGCTCTAACTCATTGTAAATTTCTTCTTCCAAATAAACACGGGGACGGGAGCTTTCCAAAACCTTACAAGAAGTAGCCAATATATAATTATTGGTAAAAATGATAGGCAAATGAAATATAATAAAAAAAATAAATCTCATGCTTCAGGCTTATTTTATTTAAAAATAACATCAAAAACAGATTAAGAAGTTAAAACTAAAGTATTACACAAGCTTACTTTAATAAACTCCTCCCATACTTTATCTTCTGCAACAAGTAACTTGGTTGTTCGGTCCCATGAAAATCCACTTAAAGAAACTCCTCAAAAAAACATCATAAAATTAAGCAAAATGGTCTTTAAGTGTTTTCAATCGATTCTTCAAATCATCTTTCTTTATGGGGGCGACGCGATGAGGTCTCCAGTTGTTGGACACGTATGTTAGAGGGACGAGACACGTGGCAAGAGAGAGCAAAACATGGAAAAATTGGGGTGTAAGCATGGATGTGATGCGTTCATAACATTGGCATGATGCATTGTCATGGCCGGTCTATGGGACACGCATCATAGTTCAGTGCATGTGGCGAAGTCTTAGGAGGGACAAATGGTCGCTTCGGGAAGATCACGTCACGATTTAGTGTCTGGATCAAAAATATATATGTTAAACATGTTCATTCAGCTAACCTTTTTATGATGAAAATCAGAATGAAATTCAAGTAAAATAGAGCCGAGAAAGAGATGAATATTAACGATCCTATGAGGATACAAACCCCCGAACGGGTTAAAGGTATTAACAAAGTGACAAGTAGAGAGGCAATGTAGAGTTTAAGATCAAAGCAAAAGTTAGTTTTCACTAACTAATCAGGCGAGTAGTCTCACTTTCTTTTTAGATGGTTGACATCATAATGTATGATGAATGTTGTATTATATGGGGGTAATTATATATATGGTAGTTATTATAACTCATGTAATGTATGTCCAGTATGAGATATTATGTAGTTGGATGAATTATTAGTGAGTCTTATGGTTTTTGTAAGACATCATTATTAATGGTGCTAGATGACTTGTGTGATGTTGCAAGCAATACGATGAAACGTGTTAATGTTGCAAGTAAAATCATGTAACTTGAGATGTTACATGTCAATGCCTATTCGTTATGTTAAAATGATTATTTGATGTTATGTAGTAAAGCTAGTTTGATATAGGGGTGTTGTAAGTCAATATCTATTGGGTGTGTTAAGTGGTGTGACTTGTAGGGTATGGAGTTATTTAATAACTTGGTGTAGCAGACATATGTGTCTAACTAACTCAGAAGTAATAGACTGATGGAGGAGAGCATTGTGGATGATCGTGATTACTTCATTGTTGGAGCGGATTCGTGAGGCACATGCCGATGCTATGAAGGAAGAACACCGGAAGAGCGAGAGCATTGTGGGTCAGGTGGCTTCCTTCGATTATGATAACGTGGATTATTGACTTTGCATCGGCGAGTTTGGGTTCCATATTGGGGCGGTGTACGCTAGATTTTGATGGAGGAGGCTCACAATTCGAGGTTCTCCATTCATCTCAGGGCGACAAAGATGTATAGGGATCTTCATCATGATTATTGGTGGCCCTGCATGAAGCAGGATGTGGCCTGGTACGTGGAGTGGTGCTTGACTTTCAGGAATGTCAAGGCCGAGAATTAGCGACCTTACGGCAAGATGCAGCCATTGGAGATTCCCGTATGGAAATGGGAAGACATCACCATGTATTTTATCACGAAGCTTCCCAGGACTGAGCGTGGAGTCGATTCGATATGGGTCATCGTGGATCGTTTGACCAAGAGCGCGCATTTCATTCCGGTTCAGGAGAGTATTTCTGCAGAGAAGTTGGTTGAGGTTTATATCAGGGAGGTGGTGGCACGTCATGGGGTTCCGGTATCAATGGTTTCTGACAGAGATGTCCGATTTATTTCTAGGTTTTGGAAGAGGTTTCATGACGAGTTGGGCACTCGTCTCCTTTTCAGTACAACATTCCATCCGCAGACCGATGGTCAGAGTGAGCGGACTATTCAAACTCTTGAGGATATGCTGCGAGCGTGTGTGTTGGACTTTGGAGGGAGTTGGGATATCTATATTTCGTTAGCAGAATTTTCGTATAACAACAGTTATCACACCAACATTGATCGACCTCCTTTTGAGATGCTCTACAGGAGGAAATGCAAGACCCCGATTTGTTGGGGCGAGGTCGGTCAACAGGTTATGGGGAGTATCGAGGTGGTAATCAAGACCACTGAGCTGATTCAACAGGTTCAAAGCAGGCTCTAGAAAGCTCAGAATCGGCAGAAGAGTTATGCCGACAGGCGCCAGTCACACTTAGAGTTCCAGGTGGGAGATATGGTTCTCCTGAAGGTGTCACCTTGGAAAGGTGTCATCCGGTTCAGGAAGCGGGGCAAGCTGGGCCCTAGGTATATTGGTCCTTTCAGGGTTTTGGCTCGGGTGGCCCGGGTTGCTTTTCGCTTAGATCTTCCATATGAGCTCAGTCAGATTCATAGCACATTCCACGTCTCTCAGCTACGGAAGTGCTTAGTGGATGATTCCACAGTGGTGTCGTTGGAGGATATTTAGGTGGATGACCGCCTGAATTATATTGAGAGACCGGTGGCGATTTTGGATCAGAAGATGAAAACCTTTAAGAACAAGGTTGTCGCGCTGGTGAAAGTGCAATGGCAGCACTGCAAGGGTTCGGAGTGGACTTGGGATCCCAAGGATGAGATGAGGGAGCACTATCAGGATTGGTTCGCGGCAGCGGACTTCGAGAACAAAGTCTGATTCAAGTGGGGGAGAATTGTAACACTTGAATCCTGGTATGTTTCGTTATCGCCCTTGTGTTATTTAAAAGTTGCATTTTGGACCTTGACCAGTACGCGGGGCGTACCACGTGGTACGCTTAGCATACAAACAAAAAAGTCAGTACCAAGGGTGTCACAACGAGCATTTTTGCCTAGGAAATTCTATCCATGGATGATCAACTCTCAAAGTATCTTGTAATTCAAAGTTAGATGATATACATATTACTCATTCAAAAACAACTATTCAAATCAAAACTCACTCATGAAGCCCTAAACCTAATTCAATATACTACATTCACTCGATTTTGGGTTTGTAACCCTAACTTCTCGGTTCAAACCCCTACTGGGCTAGGAATCACTTATTGGGCCTAATGGGCCAATAAACTCACAACTTGATTATTTTGGGCTAAAAATCCTCATTTGGGCCCTAATTGGACCCACATTCATTAAACTATAACATTTTGGGTCATAAGACTTTTTATGGGCCTTAGTGGACCTAAAATGTCTCACTTTGTTTCATGGGCCTTATTGGGCCGTAAACAACTTTCTTGAATTTTATTGGGCCGTAAAACCAATTCCTTTATCATTTTGGGCCGTAAACCCATAAAGAGGGCCCAATGGGGCCGAAAACCATTATATTTGGCCTATAATTTCAAGAATATTCAATATAAGCCCAAAAACACTCTTTTCTTTCACCCTCACTTTCATTCTCGGTTTTAAAATAATAATAATAATAAAATAAAACTAGTTTGAATTAAAACTTGACACCTCATCTTTAACTAGAGGATCTCCATGTAAATTACATCACATACTTCCAAGATTAAGCACCCTAATCCATCATGTATTAACCACCAAACTCTTCTCCTTTCTCTCTTCATATTCACGGCCGAGACCTCTAACACCCTCACATCTTCCACTTTCAAGCACCAAAATTCTCTCTAGGAACTCCTAGAACCTACTCATCCTTCCTCTCCAAAATTTTGTTTGTGCTAGTGTGTAAGTTCAAGAGCACTTCATCTAAAAATCCACTCATCTTGGTACTACTTCCACTCAAGAGGTTTAACTTCATGTTCATGTTAAACTTACTTCTCCTAACACTTCATTTCATGATCCATGTTCCTTAGAAACCCCATAAGTTCGAGATCTACTCAAGGGAGCTTGCTAGGGCCGAAATCCCTCTCATATCTCTTCATCAAAACCGATCCAAACCCCAAAGTGAGTTCATACCCCCTATTTTTGGTTTTTACTTGGTTTTGGGGGAGAATACAAGTTGCTTTGTGTAGAGCTATGTGTATGTGTGTTTTTCATTATTTGTGTTGTGATTATGTGTTGAAATCTTCATAAACTCGAAAAATATGCTAACACATGATGATATTTGTGAAACAAACTACTAGATGCAACATAATATGAAAATGAAAGGATTATATCATTTCAAGGATGTTTGAAACTAAGAAAAATCGTGTAAAGGGCTAAAAATTGACAAAGTAAACAAAAAGTGAGGATCTTTTGTCAACTCACGGTTTTAAGAGGATTAAAAGAGTCATTTTGAAAACAAAAAGGGGGTCTTTATGATATTCATGCTTTTAAAAGGGCAAAAGTGTAGATTTTCACAAAATGGGCCTTCACGGTTTTATGGGCTAAACTTGTAAAATTTTGGCTTTTATGATTTAAATTGTCATTTTAGACAAATTTGAGCCAAAAATGTAAATTTTCGGTTAAAAGGGCTGAAAATGTAAATTTATTTAAACTTGGGCCAAAAAAGATAAATTTATACACAATTGGCCGAAAATGTAAATTTCCATAAAATTGGACCAAAAAGTGCTAATTCTAACAAAAGAGGGCTAGAAATGCTATTTCGTTTAAAACAAGCCCTAAAATATAAACTTTTGGTCTTAAGGGACCTAAAGTGTCATTTTTACCCAAAAGGTGCCTTAATTGTAAATTTTCGGTTTTAAGGACCAAAAAAAATATCTTTTTACAAAAAGTGGGCCTTTTATGTCATTTTGGTAAATAATTGAACTAGAACGAACAATACAATAACAAACGAGTTAATTACGACAAACTCACTTCTATTGGGCCTTAGTGGCCCACTTACATGCATATTGGGCCTTAGTGGTCCATTACATGCTTATTGCGCCTGGAATATACATCAAATGTTTATTGTGCTTTTGTAGCCCATATACATGCTTGTTGGGCCTGGAATATACACTTACAGGTTATTTGGGCCTCTGTGGTCCATTTATATACTCGTTGGGCCTTGTAACCTTATAACATATTCGAAAACATTAACTACTACATTAAACAGTGTGATACAATATTCGTGTGAATGTAGTTAAGGTTCTTGTGAGACACGTTCATTCATTCGTATCTACCTAGTGTATAACCTTTAGTCTGTAGTTATAACCAGAGTCACCTGGAGGGAGAGCGAGAGTTTGTGTATAGATTTATACGGGGTTGACACCCCACACCTGAGCTGTTCGCTACAGTTAGACTAGGCCAGTCTAGGGTGATAAACCTTACCTTAAACAAGTCGGCGTCTGAAAAACGTCATGACGGGCGGATCAGTCATTATCAAGTATGGTTATAACGAATCACAAAGAAATTAACTCCATTGTAAATTTACGGAATACATAAACAATTCTACAATTAAATTTTATACAAACACCAAC